AAAATTAGCTGAGCATAGTGGCGTGTGCCTGTAGTCCCAGTTACTTGGGAGGCTCAGGCAGGAGAATCACTTGAACCTGGGAGGCAGAGGTTGCAGTGAGCAAAGATCATGCCACTGCACTCCAGCCTGGGTGACAGAGTGAGACTCCATCTAAAAAAAGAGAGAGAGAGAGAGAGAAAGGAAGAGACCACTAAAAGTAAATTTAATACCAATGTTTATTAGGGCAGAAAAGAAGAGGAATAAAAATAGATGACAAAACAACTCAGCAACCCCAAGTGGTATGCTTCACTACTCTGAACAAGGATTCCCCAAATTCCTTAGGGCAGGCAGCCTGCCCTAACTCGGTCTGGGAGTTCCAGCTCCATCAGCCCCAGGTAAGATTCTGGTTGTTCCCACTCTTGCAAACTGATGGAAAGACCTTTGGCAGGTGTCTATGCTTTAAGCTATTGGTTTTAGTGACTTATGCAGGTTAGTAAAATGAAGCAGTATATATATTTGCCATTTCCAAGGCAATCTTTGATATGCCCACAGTTCACAAGGTCTGAAGACATCCATTTCCGCAATTTAAAAACAAATGAAAAAAGCAGCCTTGTCTTGTTTCAACATCATCCAGGTTGTTGTCTATTAAAATGCTTGCTGAAAAAGAACAAGAAAATAACATTAGGATAATGATAATGATTGTGGTGGTGGTGGTGGTGATGATGATGGTGGTGGCAGTGATGGTGATGATGGTGATCATGCTGGTGGTAATAGTGATGATGGTTATGATGGTGGTGGTAGTGATGATGATAACGGTGGTGGTGGTGATAGTGATGATTATGATGATGGTGGTGGTGATAGTAGTGATGGTGATGATGGGGTTGATGGTGATGATGGTGGCTGTGGTGTTGATGATGGTGGTGGTGGTGATGATGGGGGTGATGGTGATGGTGGTGGTGGTGATAGTGATGATGGTGGTGATGGTGGTGATGGTGGTGGTGGTGGTGATGGTGATAGTGATGATGATGGTGATGATGGTGATTGTGGTGGTGGTGATGGTGGTGATGGTGGTGGTGGTGATGGTGATGATGGTGGTGAGAGTGGTGGTGGTGGTCATGGTGGTGGTGGTGGTGATGATGGGGACGGTGGTGGTGGTGGTGATGGTGGTGATGGTGATGGTTATGATGGTGGTGAGAGTGGTGGTGGTGGTCATGGTGGTGGTGATTGATGGTGTGGTGGTGGTGATGGTGAGTGATGGTGGTGGTGGTGGCCGGTGATGATGGTGGTGAGTGGTGGTGGTGGTCATGGTGGTGGTGGTGGTGATGATGGGGACGGTGGTGGTGGTGGTGGTGGTGATGATGGGGATGATGGTGGTGGTGATGATGGTGATGGTGGTGATGGTGGTGATGGTGGTGTTGGTGGTGTTGGTGATGGTGGTGATGGTGATGGTGGTGATGGTGGTGGTGGTGGTGATGATGGTAGTGGTGGTGGTGGTGGTGGTAATGGTGATGATGGTGGTGATGGTGGTGTTGGTGGTGGTGTGATGAGGTGATGATGGTGGTGATGGTGGTGGTGGTGGTGATGGTGGTGGTGGTGGTGGTGATGGTGTTGATGGTGGTGATGATGGTGGTGATGGTGGTGGTGGTGATGATGGTGGTGATGGTGGTGGGGGTGATGGTTGTGATGGTGGTGATGGTAGTGATGGTGGTGATGGTAGTGGTGGTGATGGCTCAGAAGTATTGATGATGATGGTGGTGATGGTGGTGGTGGTGATTGTGGTGATGATGGTGGTGATGGTGGTGGGGGTGATGGTGAGTGTTGGTGATGGTGGTGATGGTGGTGATGGTGGTGGTGGTGGTGGTGGTGGTGTGATGGTGATGATGGTGATGGTGGTGATGGTGGTGGTGGTGATGGTAGTGATGGTGGTGGTGGTGGTGGTGGTGGTGATGATGAAGTGATTTGGTGGTGATGATGGTGATGATGGTGAGGCGGTGGTGATGGTGATGTAAGGTGGTGATGGTGGTGGGGGGTGATGTGGTGGTGATGGTGGTGATGGTGGTGATGGTGGTGATTGTGGTGGTGGTGGTGGTGGTGGTGGTGTGATGGTGATGATGGTGATGGTGGTGATGTGGTGGTGGTGATGGTAGTGATGGTGGTGGTGGTGGTGATGGTGGCCGATAGTGATGATGGTGGTGTGAGTGATGATGGTGATGATGGTGGTGGTGGTGATGGTGGTGATGATGGTGGTGGTGGTGGGTGGTGATGGTGGTGGTGGTGATGGTGATGATGGTGGTTTGAGTGATGGTGATAGTGATGATGGTGTGGTGATGATGGTGGTGATGGTGGTGGTGGTGATGGTGATGATGGTGGTGGTGGTGGTGGTGGTGATGGTGATGATGGTGGTGGTGGTGGTGATGGTGATAGTGATGATGATGGTGGTGATGGTGGTGGTGGTGATGGTGATGATGGTGGTGATGGTGGCGGTGGTGATGGTGATGATGGTGGTGATGGTGGTGGTGGTGATGGTGATGATGGTGAGTATTGGGTGGCGGTGATGGTATTAGTGATGATGATGGTGGTGATGGTGGTGGTGGTGATAGTGATGATGGTGGTGATGGTGGTGATGGTGGCGGTGATGGTGGTGGTGGTGGTGATTACAATTTGATAGTGATGATGATGGTGGTGATGATGGTGGTGATGGTGGTGGTGGTGATGGGAGTGGTGGTGATGGTGGTAGTGGTGGTGGTGATGGTGGTGTGGTGATGGGTGGTAATGATGGTGGTGATGGTGGTGGTGGTGATGTGGTGATGGTGGTGATGTGGTGCTGGGGTGATGGTGATGATGGTGGTGATGGTGGTGGTGGTGATAGTGACGGTGGTAGTAGATGGTGATGATGGTGGAGGTGGGCCAGTTGCTGATGATGGTGATAAGGCAGGAAGAGAGGAGGAGAGGGGAAAAGGAGGGGGCTAAGGAAGAGGAAAATTGGTGTCCGGAAAAACTACCATCCAAACATCCTTTCTAGGCACTTCCTATGTGTGCCAGGGCAACACTAATGATTTTCAAGTGACTTGTTAAATCCTAGAACCATGAGAAGCAACCATTACTATCCTTACACATACAAATGGGGGGCAACTATTCAATCAGGCATTTTTTTTCTAAGGTTACTCAGTCAGTGACTGGAGGACTCATTATCTGAAGTCTGTCTGACTCCCAATTCCAAGTTGACACATTTCGCCAGCCACCGCTTCCCTGTATTTATGTAAGTGGGAGCTGCCTGGAGTGAGGCCTCTGTGGAACCTGTGTTTGCAGGGCTAAGGCACCCTGAGGCCTCTGTGGAACCCTGTGTTTGCAGGAGCTAGGCACCCAGGCTCACCAGCAGTGCCTGTCCTACCAAGAATCAGAGGCCTCAGTCACCCCTTGGAGGGTACTACTGTGGGGCTGAACCCAGAAACCTCTCCTTTAACTTCAACTGCACAACACTAATAAGTGCTTTAATTTTTAGAGTCACTTACTATGCACCAGGCTCCCTAGATATCATTATTATCCCAACTTACAGAGGCAGAAGCAAAGAGTCAGTGAGGTTAGGTGACTTGCCCAAGGGCACAGAGCTGGAAATCAGAAAGTCAAACTCAGCTCTGGCCAGTTCCAGAGTTTAAGCATCCAATTACTCCACAGTTCTGTTTTCTGGAAGAAGCCAAGTGAGGGCTTCCAGTGCTAAAAGACAAAGGCCCTTGGTGCAGGGGAGGCCAGCACCCTGGGAGTTGGGAGCCAAGCCCAGGCACACCAGAACCCTGACCTAGAATAGAGCTCCAGCAGCTGGAAGAATTAGAAGAGGGATGTAGCCCACTCCTACCCCTCAAAAGCAGAACTTCTATTCCACTGCCAGCAGGTGATCCTCTCACTATCTGTGAAAGCTTCCTCAGAGTGATTCCATGCCCACGCACACACAGGACTGTGCAACACAGTCCACATAACGCATGCAGATTTATGGTGGTCAGAAGCCTAGCGTACCAACCACTGCCTAGCATGAGTTAGTAGCTTAATCATGCTCAGTTAGCTCCTCTTTAAAATGGGGTTAAAGTGCATACTCTGCAATGACACCAGGGTGTTAAAAGGATCATATAAGGCAATTTATGTTATATTATAAAGAGTGATTAATAGGAGTGTACCTGTGTCAATTCACAGTAGCACAAAATAAACAACAAAGGTATAAGATTTCTCTTAACCACAAAGATAAACTACCTGATTATATCTTGTCCTGCTTGGTCCATAAAACTTACAGAGGAGAAATGAAATTCACTGGGCTTACCCTCTGAAGGAATTTTTCTACCTTATCTAACAGGATTTGGAAAGGGGGGAAGACAATGAGGACAGACAGGGAGAAGCAAACGGCCTCATCTAGGCACAGAGGTACAGAGTTGGGGGCATGTAGGGTGTGGGGGGAAAGCTGGGCAGTCCCCTGCTGGTGGGCTGAAAACAGAAGCCCCAGGAAAAGGGAAAGATAGAGGGTGGGCTGGGCAGATTGGCAGCCTTGAAGGCTGCAGGAAGGCAGTGGGGAACATGAGCAAGATCTGGGAAAGAAGTTGTTGATCCTGATGACAGTAGTGATGATCGTGGTAGATGTCACAGGTTGACTCCACGAATGCTGAGCCCTCCTGCAGAGACCCGAGTCTCAACAAAATACACTTCTCCAGATTTGGGGTCCAGAGAGAGGTTTTCTGCATGGCAAATAGGGTCACATCCCTCCTCATTTGGGATTACTTTGTGACTCAATAAAAGTTGGGCTCCCCTGTGTGTCCCCCAGCGCTCCTCTCAACCTGGCTCCCCACTATGTCTCCTGCCTCACTCTTGCCACCCCCACTCCAAACCGATAAACTGCTAACCAGCTGGTCCCCCTGTGGCATGGTCCAGAAAGTCTCCCAGCCCATGCCATGCTATATCCCCCGCCACTCCCTCAGACAGAGGCCTGGGAGAGAGAAGGAGACGTACCGAGGCCGGTCCTGATCCCCTTACACAGGATGAACCCTGTTCCTGTCACAATGGGGTTTGCAGTGAGGGTTCAGCCAGTGCTCCAGGAACTGCTCCTCGGCGCGATGCTCCAGGGCGAGCAGGTGGTGCATGTGTTCCTGTCAAAACAAACCACACTGAAGAAGGCTTCATCCACAGTGACAGCCGAGGGGTCAGCATGCATGGCGCGGCTCTGGCCCCCTAGACAGGGCAGGATGGGAGGACAGGCAGGAAGGTGAAATCGACAGCCACATCCATGCCTCTCAGTAGGGAAGATCAGTCAGTATGACCAACCCGGTGGGCAAAATAAAGAAGTCTGACAATACTAAGTGCTGAGCGGGTGGATCTCCATGAAATCATGGAACAACCACTTCAGAAAACAACTGATTGCCTGTAATCTAGAAATTTCACTCCTACTTCAGTGGACCTCAAATTTTATCAGATACCAGAGTCACCTAAAGAGCTTATTACAACACAGATTGCTGGGCCTATCCTATAGTTTCTGACTCAGTGGGTCTTGGGTGGGACTTGAGAAGTCGCATTTCTAACAAGTTCCTAGCTAATAGTTATATTGCTAGTTGCCCTGAGAACATGAGAAACTCTTATATCAGGAGAGGTGTATAAAAATGTTTATAGCAGCAATAAATTTGTCATAGCAAAACACTGGAAACATGCCAAATAGACTTTTACAGGAGAATGAATCAATAAATTATGGTAGGGTTATGCCATGGAATATTACACAGCAGAGAACATAAATTAATTATACTGTAGCTATATACAACAACATAGGTGGGTCTTAGAAATAGCATATTGAGTGAAAAGTCCAAGTAACTACATTTATAGCATGACACTATTTTTATAAAGTTCAAATATACATAACTAAATCATGTAATATATTACTTATGGCTATATGTATTTCTGATAAAATCATCTTTTTTAAAAGACAAGGGATAAGCAGAAGAAAGCTAGGGTTGCTATGCTAATATCAAACAAAAAGACTTTAAAGTATAAAAATGTTACTAGAAATAGAGAAGCATTTTGTAAAAATAGTCTGGCAGTTCCTTATAATATTAAACATAGATTTACCATTTGTACTCCTGGCTAGCAACTGTACTTGTAGGGATACACCCAAAAGAAACAAAAAATGAATGTCCACACAAAAACTTGTACACAGATGTTCACACCAGCATCATTTGTCACAGCCAAAAACCAGAAGCAACCCAAATGTCCACCAACAAATGAATGGATAAATAAAATGTGCTACTTCCATATAATGGAATATTATTTGGCAATTAAAATGAATGAAGCAGTGATCCCTGCTACAACATGGATGAACCTTGAGAACATTACGCTAAGTGACAGAAGCCAGTCACAAAGGACCACACGGTGTACGATTCCGTTCATATGAAAGGTGGCCAGTCCTACACATTAATCTGTCCACAACAGAAAGCAGCTCCTTGCCCTGACTAGTCCTGCCCCTTACTGTGGCCAGCATCTCCATCTACTCAGGAACCCACTCCAGAACACGAACTGTCATTGCCTCCCTCACCGTCAAACTCAACATAGGACTGAGCATTAGAACGTTGAGGCTATCTCCTGAATAGTTCTCAGATGCCCTCCCTCATCTCTGCCACTTCCCTAGGTCACGTCTTCACCATTGTCCACCAAGGCTGCCGCAGACTCCTGACCCCTCTGTCTGTCTCACCCATCTGTGTTGCATTCCTCTCACCCCATGCCTCCTCCCTCCTCCATCCCTGCTCCACTCTGACAGAGTGACCCAAAATGGTCAAAGGTGGCCCACCAGGGCCACCTTCCTCCTCAAAGACATCACCAGTGCTGTCTGCCTGCAAGGAGTCAGCGCCTGCCTCTACCCATGGGTTTTGTCTGTGGCTCTGGATAATGTACTTGCAAGCCAGCAGATGAGTGCAGCTTTGGGTAAGATTCTCCACCTTCCCCCACTCCTCACAACAGCAGGGAGTGACCCTGCCCTCCCACCTTGGTCTACAATTGTCATTGACAGCCTTTGTTAATCTCTATGCTTCTCAAGAACACAATTTCTCCCTGCAATGGTTGCCTGAAGAGACTTTAATGAAGGGATCATTCACAGCCATGTGAGTAGGGTTAAGGGAACTATCAAAGAATATTCTAGCACCCAGGGACTAGCAATATGGGGAAGCCATGACCATGCCTAAGTTTGCAGGGCCAAGGGTGGAGAACCCTTGGAGGAGCCATTAGGCCTGGGGCCAGGGGGGTGGGGCTGCTGTGGTCTTCGGGGCACAGCACAGCCTTTGCAAGGCAAGGAGGTAACAGGGAACAAACAGCCCGTCTTCTCCCTCCTCTTCCCCTCAGTCTCCTGCAGGGCCCAATCAGAAGCCAGCCAGCCAGGGAACTAAGGGATTCAGTCTACAGGGGTCAGTCTCCTTGAGCACATAGTGGGGCACAGCAGGGTGGAGGACGGACTGGGGTCTGGGCAGAGAAAACCCGCGTCAATGCCAGGATGATGAGGAGTGGCAGGTGTGCTACCACCAGAGAAGGGAGCAGATAGCACAAATAACAGAGGGCCATGAGAGGGCCTCTCTGCAACCTGCAGCTCATCAGCCTCTGAATACACCCATCTTTGCATGAAATTTTTGTCTTTGCATCTCCTCTCTCTCTCAGTTTGCTCATGCTGTGCCCTTTATCAACAGGAATGTCACTTCCAGCCTTTGGGGCGGGCCTTCTCCTCCCAACGTGCCTTGGTCTTCCCCAAAGCCAGTTCAGGCTGTGAATTTTCTGTATATGGGTTACTCATGGCATTATGTCCTATAAGTGATGCATAAAACAGAAAAATGATAAATCAACAGGACCTCTCTTAAATAAAAGAATAAAATGTGATTCCTCTTGTCTTAGTCAGTTATAAGGTCTCCTCCTTCCCTCTCCATCTTCTGGTGCGATATCTGGCCTACAAGAACTGCCTATCATACTGAAGGTGGTTCATCATATCTCTGCTTATGGCAACCACATTGCTAGTTAAGCAAGAAGCTTCAGCGCACTCCTCTTCCTTGCCCTCCCAGCATCCAAGCAGCCTAACTCCTGTGAATGCTCCTGGATCCCTTCTACCCAGCCCGATTGCCTCTGCCCAGCTTAGGCCCCAGCCCAGGCCCCAGCCCTGGGGCTAGACCCCTGCCACAACCTCTGCAGGCTCTTACTACCCCTTGTCTTACCTTCTTCCTCTCATGGAATTTTTTATTGTTTTGTTTTGTTTTCTTAATAGGCTTTATTTTTTAGAGCAGTTTTAGGTTTGCAGCGACATTGAGCAGAAATATAGTGTTCCCATATATCCCCCGTCTTCACACAGGCACAGCCTCCCCCACTACCAACATCCTCCACCAGCATGGGATATTTGTTACAGTTGATGCACCTGCATTGACACATCCCCATCACCAGTCCATAGTTGACATTAGGGCTCACTCTTGGTATTACACAAAAGCATGGCAGTTGGGCACCATGACTCACGTCTATAATCCCAGCAATTTGGGAGGCTGAAGTGGGCAGATCACTCAAGCTCTGGAGTTCAAGACAAGCCTGGGCAACATGGTGAAACCCTGTCTCTACCAAAAATACAAAAAAAATTAGCCAGGTGTGGTGGTGCATGCCTGTAGTCCCAGCTACTCAGGAGGCTGAGGTGGGAGGATCTCTTGAGCCCAGGAGGTAGAGATTGCAGTGAGCTGAGATCGCACCATGGCACTCCAGCCTGGGCAACAGTGCGAGCCTGTGTCTCAAAATTACATAAATAAATAAAAATAAAAATAAAAGCATGGCACCTACATCTGCTTCTGATAAGGACCTCAGGAAGCTTCCACTCATGGCAGAAGGTGAAGGGGAGCTGATATATGCAGATCACATGGCGAGACAGGAGGCAAGAAAGAGAGGAGGTGCCAGGCTCTTTGCAACAATCTGTTCTCATGGGAACTAAGAGTGAAAACTCCCTCATTACCACCATTCATGAGGGATCCACCTCCATGACTCAAACACCTCCCACAAGGCCCCACCTCCAACACCGGGGATCAAATTTCAACATGAGACTTGGTGGGGCCAAACAAACCACATACAAACCCTAGCACTACCATTGCAATATCAGCAATATCACACGGGACAGTTTCACTGCCCTAAAAATCTGCTTTGCTCTGCCTGTTCATCTGCTCAACCCCTGGCAACCACTGATCTTTATACTGTCTCTATAGTTTTGCCTTTCCCAGAATGTCATGTAGTTAGAGTCATCGAATTTTCAGATTGGTTTCTTTTCTTTAGTAATATGCATTGAAGTTTAATTCCATGTCTTTCCGTGGCTTGATAGCTCATTTTGTTTTAGGGTTGAATAATATTCCATTATCTGGATGTACCATAGTTCATTTATTCACTCACCAGGACATCTTGGTTACTACCAAGTTGGAGTAATTATGAATAAAAGTGCTATAAACATGTGAGTGCAGGTTTTGTGTGGATCTAAGTTTTCAACTCCTTTGGGTAAACACGAGGGAGTGTGATTACTGAATAGTATGTTAAGAGTAGGTCTGGTTTTGTAAGAAACTGTCAAACTGTCTTCCAAAGTAGCTGCATCGTTTTGCATTTCCACCAGCAATGAGTGAGAGTTCTGTTGTTTCACATCCTCACCAGCATTTGGTGTTGTCCGTGTTCCGGATTTTGGCCATTCTAATAGGTGTATAGTGCCATCTCACTGCTGTTTTAAGTTGCATTTCCCTAATGACGTATGATGTTTCACATGCTTACTTGCCATCTGTATATCTTCTTCAGTAGATATCCATTCAAGTCTTTTGTAAGAAAGGGTTTTTAAAATATAAAAAACAAAAATAGCTTTATTGGTTTTTATTTTTATCACAACAGTGATACATATTACTTTCTTAAAGTCATGTAGAAAAAAAAGAAAGTTATAAAAAGAGGCTGAAAAATCCCTCTTGATTTTTCCGTATCCTGTTGCAAAGTGATTTTTTTTTTTTTTTTTTTTTAGATGGAGTCTCACCCTGTCACCCAGGCTGGAATGCAGTGGCACCATCTCGGCTTACTGCAAGCTCCACCTCCTGGGTTCACGCCATTCTCTTGCCTCAGCTTCCTGAGTAGCTGGGACTACATGCACCCGCCACCACACCCGGCTAATTTTTTGAATTTTTAGAGAGATGGGGTTTCACCGTGTTAGCCAGGATGGTCTCGATCTCCTGACCTCGTGATCCACCTGCCTCCCAAAGTGCTGGGACTACAGGCGTAAGCCACTGCGCCCAGTCACAGAGTGATACATTTTTTTAATTTACCCACATTGCTTCTTCACTTAAAATGCCTGCATGCCTCCCACTGGGCTCAGGAGAAAGTTCTGATTCCTTAATGTGGCTAAGGGCTTTCCATGACCCAGCTATACCCATCTCCTGAGCCTCTTCACTCACCATCAATACACTTGAGCTTTGTTCTCCATCTTTCCCTGAACGGGCCACGCTTGCTGTTCTTTCTAAGGCTTCCAAAGCACCTGTTGTTTGCTCTGCCTAGAACACCCCTGTACCTTCTTATTTTCCCATCTCATCCTTACCTGACTTTTCAGGCCTCAGCTTAGATGTTACTTCCTCTAGGAAACCTTCTCAGATTCCCCGTGACCCCACTTCTCTGGGTCCCCAAAGCTCCATAGACTTTTCCCAGCGTAGCCCTCCCTGGTCATTCTGTGTGGCAGTGAGCTCTCCCTAAGAGTGGGGACTTTATTGGCCTGCCTCATATTGTTTAGTGGAGGTGGTAGGTGGGTTGGCTCATATATTGGTATCAAAATTTGATGTTCCAGCTGGGTGTGGTGGTGCACACCTGTAGTCCTTGCTACTCAGGAGGCTAAGGCGAGAGAATTACTTAAGCCCAGGAGTTTGAGGCTTCAGTGAACTATGATGATGCCACTGCACTCCAGAGCAGGCAACAGAGCGAGACTCAAGCAAAACTCAAAACAAAAACAAAAACTTGATGTTATTTTTTGTTCCCTCCAAAAGAGAATGGATAGAGAAGGGAATGATTTTTAACTTGGAGTGTGTTTTTGATATTGTCCTGAAGGAAATGTTGGTGCTGTAATTATAGGATGTGAACCATTGCAAAGTATGCATAGAACAGTTCCATACAAACTGCAGACCAATAATCAGAGAAGTGGCATTTCACCTTAGGAAAGAGTAGACATACTCAGTCATACTTGTGATGTGATTAAATTGTTTTTGGCATGTATCAATATCATAAAAATTCTAAATCGTGGAAATCTTCCTATGGCATTAAGAAGGTTTTAACGAAGAGTCCACTTTAGGACTCTAAGTTTTTAAGTTTTTAGAACACCCTCTAGGAACTCTGCATTCTATATCAAATGTAGTCATTTAAAAAGAAAAAAAAAAAAAAGAATGTGCAAAGGAAGGAATTATGAAGTGTCCAACTTTTCTGATTTTTTTTCTTTCCCCCAGTTTGGATTTGTTTTGGTTATGGTTGTTGTTTTCATTTAACTCATCAAAACACACGCAGTGTTCTGGCAGGGAGTCTCTGGGTCAGCTGGGGTAGAAGGCAGATGGTGAGAGGGCTCCTTGTAGGATCCAACAATGATTCCCTGGCTGCTTTCTGAACATGTTTGCAGATTTTGGGCTGAGCTCCTTCCCTATCCAGGGAGTCTTTGGCTAGAAGAATAGTAATTGGGAGGAACAGGAAGGCCGTGTGCAGTCTTGTAAATAAGGAACAACAAGTTCCCAGCACATAACTTTACTTGTTCAACTATTCTGTGGAAGCAGCACACTGAAGGAACCCCTGCTGCCTGCTTCTTGCTGGCCTGTTGTCCAGACAGGGAGGAATAGAGGCTAAGAGTCTCAGTCTCCTTCAAACCTGGACTCTGTCATTATTGCTTTACCTCTCCAGCCTCAATTTGTTCATCTGCAAGACGGGGATTGCACTAGCACTTGCTTCCTTAAGGTAGTTAACTTGCTTCCTTGGGTTAGATATTAAATGAAATGGTGCAAATAAAGTTTTGTGCCAAATAAGTAGCCTGCATTTGTCCCTCCAGGTCCATTCTCTCCCCCTTTTCACCTGGCTGTGGGACCCAGATTAATTGTTGGCATAGACTCCCTTGGCCTGTGGCTTCTGGTTGGGTTTCATCAGTGGGAGGTACCAGAACAGATTAGAGGGTAGGAGGAGGGAGAGGTCAGAGTATTCAATCCCCTAGTTCCTCCCCAAGGAGACACAGCCACACCAAGCATAAATACAATCACAAAAGAAATCATTTAAGCTTGAATGTCATCTTTTTAAAGAATTTCCACAGTTCACCCCAGCAATTGGCTGCATCCCTCTCCCGAAGGCCACAGCTCCTAGGAGGCTGTCCTCTCCAGCTCCGGGAACCATCTGCCTCCCTTACTCTTTCATGGTCTAGAGACTGTTAACCCTGATCCTTTATCATTTCTTGTTGGTTAACCTTAATCCTGCCCACACCTTTGTAAAAAGTCTCTTTATTAAACACTCTTCAGGTACCCCATCTCCTGCTGGGACCCCAATACTCCAGGGGCTTGGCACCCCATTCCTGGAATGTAGTAGGAACACATTAAATGCTAGCTGTTAACTTTGGTTACTATTAGATAACAAAGATCTGAGTACACACCAAGGTTGTGAAGGAGAGCATCTTTTCCAGGAACTGGTACACACGAAACTTTCCGTAAAGGCTTGTTGAAGAAAAGACTACAGCATCATTCTTCAAAGCGTGATCTGTGCTCCCCTCAGGGGCCCATAAGGCCAAATAATTTTTAGAATAACACTCAGACATTATTTGTCTTCTTGCTGTATTGGCATTTTCACTGATGTGCCAAGGCAGTGGTAGGTAAAATGACTGGCACATTAGCAGGAATCCAGGCAGTGGTACCCAATTCTACTAGCGGTCATCATATCCTTCCCCACCACACACTTACAGTACGAAAATAAAAATAAAACATTCTTAAAATGCCAGTTGCCCTGAAGAATGCCCTGGTGAAACAGTATAGAACAACCCAAATGGGCATATGCAGGCAGTACTTCTGCTGTATGACAAAGTGCAATGATTTTCACAAGGAAAAGCACGTGTGCAATTGCTGGTGGTGAACTGGCTATGCATGTTTTATGTGCACATTGGGCAGACATCTTGACAATGAATGAAGTAAGCCTGTCACCTCAAGGAAAACAATTTACAGTATTTATTAAATTGAGCTTCCCAGAGGAAACCGGAGTTTTGAAAACTTACATCTGCTACAGGAGGCTGGCAATTTCCCAATACTTAAAGACATTTATAATGAGATCACTGGTGATATTAACGAATGTCACTACTGATACACAGCACCTTTTATAATTATATACTCATTTGCATCTTTACTCATTTAATCTCTGTCCCTCTCAGTCAAATATCCAACCAGTTTTTTTATGGCAGTGACCAAAGTATATCTGGTCTATGACTTAGTGCTTGGCACACAGTAGGACCACAACAAAGCTCACTGGAAAAATGTATAAAGGAGCAAATGAATAAATAAAATAACTGTTCTTTCCCTATAATCTTGCTAAATCCCCCTTGGAAATTTCTTGACATCTGTGTCAATCTGCTCATTATAACAGCCTAGGCCAAATGTACATTAAAAGCATCAAAAAGTAATATATATTTCACACTCCTAAACACCAACTGAAATCATCACTGAAGAAAAACAATCAAAACAGACACACATTGAGAACAAGAAAGAAATCAGCACTGGTTTCCATGACATTTCACAATTTACTTAAAATGTTAGGAAAATGAATATGCCACAAACGCCTAAAAAGCAATCATTAGTCAAATCGAAAGGCAAATTGCAAATCTCCTGAAAACCACAAACTCAACAATTGCACTGGCTGAGTTAGAAATGACTCGACATTAGTGATAATCTCAAATGTTCCTGGAGCAAGGAAGAAGAGGTATATGGAAAATAAGTTTTAATTTCTTCAGATTCCTTTCTCCAAGTGTGGGAGGGGGGGTGTAAATTAAAGCAAAACAAAACCAATATCTGTGTTCCATGTCAAATGCCAACTGTAATGATTTAAATATTTCTCAGTAACTAGAGCAGAAATTAAAAGTAGTCCTTTATTATGGTTCTGGACTGGTGTGATAACGAACTTGTCTTCTTGCTGTATTGGCATTTTCACTGATGTGCCAAGGCAGTGGTAGGTAAAATGACTGGCGCCTTAGCAGGAATCCAGGCAGTGGTACCCAATTCTATTAGCAGTCATTGTATCCTTCCCCACCACACACTCACAGTATGAAAATAAAAATAAAACATTCTTTTATACGTTTGTAAATAAAACATTCTTTAATACCCACCAGAACTTGACCTATGCTGAGAATCATAAAGTGGACAGTCATTCTATTGAGGCAGGGCCTTTTTCCAAGAAGGCAAAATCCTTCCCGTGACATTTTTGCAGAATTAAAGATCCATCAGCATTTGGAAAAATTATTTTGCTCATTAGTACAAGCAAGGTAATCCCATAGATAGAATGGTGGCTCAGAACTTAACTGCACTGGAACACTGAAGGCTCAGCCCTGAAGGAAGGCAGAACAGTGCTGTGGGCAATTTACACCTCGGTCACTCCAAACTGGCCTTTGAGGTAATGGGGAACAAAAGGGTAATGGAGTTACTACACACATTTGTCAAACAGCTAAACATGAAAGTATATTTTACAAAGTCTACTTATAATAAAGCTAATATGATTTATGCTTGCCAAACAAGAACATTCCTTAAAGGATCACAGGCCAAAATGGAATACTTCCTAGGAAAGT